GTACATATGTGCACACACCTCATGTTTCCTGTAGCCCGTGTCACTTCTGATGGGTGTACTCACGCATACGTGTATGCATACCTGCTCACATGCCATGTTCTCTGTAGCCAGTGTCACTTCTGATGGGCACGCTCACACATAATACATATCTGCACACATATTATGTTCCATGTAGCCCGTGTCACTTTTGTTGGGTGTGCTCACACATATGTGTATACATATCTGCACACATGTCATGTTCTTTCTGTGTAGCCTGTGTCACTTCTGATGGGCGCGGTCACACACATATATACATATCTGCACAGCTGTTGTGTTCCGTGTAGCCTGTTGCACTTCTGATGGGCATGCTCACACTCGCGTGGTTCTGAAGCATATTTGCTCACAATCTCGGGCTGGAAGGGCCCTTAGGCACCTGGAGTCCAGCCCACATTCCAGTGTGAGGAACACGTCAGGTCACTGCCTGCTTTTACCGGTGAAGAAACGCTGTGCTCCCAGGCCCTGTGATAGGTCACTGCAGACCCACGGCTAGGCTCACTGGCTCCATGAAACGTCTGGTGGTTGTTCGTCTTCTCTTATGTGGTAAAGCAGCAGTGACCTTTCTTCAAGTTTGCAATTTTTGGCTAATGTAAAAATCTTGTAGTTTCTAATATATTTCTGACTTTAATTTTCCTAGTTATTCTGATGACTAGGGCTTATCTGTACCCAGTTGCCTTCAGAGCTGATGTAAAAAGGTTTTTTTTTGGAAGATTTAAAAAATAAATGAAACTTGAAATTCCTTAACTTGCCAGTTTTTGTACACGGAATCACAAAGCAGTGATATTGAAACATTGGCTGTTGTGGAATTGATGAGCATGTAAGAGGCATAGTCTTGGACTCAGAAAATAAGGGAATGGAAAGTTAGGTTATTAAAACCTGAGGGAGATCATTCTTTACCTAATTTAAATGGAATTCATCCCTCTCAGGTTTCTTTAAAATTACTGATGTAATTACAGATATTCAAAACTTATTTGTGGTGACTGTTACATCATTTAATAAGAATGAAGCAATGACCAAATTTCACAAAAAGGAAATTAGAGTCTTGACCCCCTGCAAGCGTGAAGTTCTTGTGTAAATCTTAATTTGAACTTCTCTGTACTCATTTTAGATCAGGTGATGTGGCACTGTCATCTTCGAATAATCTGTGGGAAAGGTCCTTGTTAATTCACTTAATAAAAATGCTAAGGGGCAGCATTTAACCAAGTTGACTAAAGTACTATTTTGATACGCTCTTAAAGCCCCTTGTGGAGCCCTTTTCTTTGGCCAGTAATAAACCTGGTTATTGCAGAAGCTTTGGCAAAAGTACAATCAGCAGCACATTTCAGCTGTTAGGATTACACTGTGTGCCCTAAAACTGCACTGCATTTCCTTAAAGCCAGGACTGTTGCTGCCTGCTCTGCTAGAATGTGAGCGTCAGGGGGAGCGGTGTTACCCTCTCTTTTGCGTGCTCTCTCACACACAGCGGCGCCTGCACACGGGAGGTGCACACTAGACCTTTGTGGAGCACACAGTTCTGTGGTTCAGTCCTGTCCCTAATGCAGACTGCAGATCCCTCAGTTGTTCCCGAAGAGGCAGGGTCAGAGAGCAGCATAACCAGGTGACAGTATTTAGCCCTGCACGTGAGGGGAGTTAACCTCTTTTTTCCAGGGAACAGTTGAATTTTAAATCTTGAAAAAGAATCCTGTGTGATACAAGTTTGACTTCTCCTTTGAACATTTTTTTTTTTTTCTGAGGAAGATTAGCCCTGAGCTAACATCTGATGCTAACCCTCCTCTTTTTGCTGAGGAAGATTAGCCCTGAGCTAACATCTGATGCTAACCCTCCTCTTTTTGCTGAGGAAGATTGGCCCCGGGCTAACATTTGTGCCCATCTTCCTCTACTTTCTATGGGACGCCGCCACATAATGGCTTGACAAGTGGTGCATCAGTGCGCGCCCAGGGTCTGAACCTGTGAACCCCGGGCCGCTGCACCGGGCCAGCCCCCCTTTGAACGTTCTTTATCTTAGGGTCTTCTTAGGGTCTACTTTTTGGGAAGTTAGCCATCAAGGAATATTCAGAAATGTGTTTCACTTGGAGATGAGTTTTCTGTTTCTCATTTAGATATCTGACATCTTAAAAATACAGGCTGGGGGCCGGCCCTGTGGCTTAGCGGTTAAGTGCGCGTGCTCCGCTACTGGCGGCCTGGGTTCGGATCCCGGGCGCGCACCGACGCACCGCTTGTCCGGCCATGCTGAGGTCGCATCCCACATACAGCAACTAGAGGGATGTGCAACTATGACATACAACTATCTACTGGGGCTTTGGGGAAAAAAAAAAAGGGAAGAGGATTGGCAATAGATGTTAGCTCGGAGCTGGTCTTCCTCAGCAAAAAGAGGAGGATTAGCATGGATGTTAGCTCAGGGCTGGTCTTCCTCACAAAAAAATAAATAAATAAAAATACAGGCTGATGCAAGTGCTTTAAATTCTGAAAAGCACGATAGGAAAGGCAAAGGGGGGATGTGCTCTCCAGACCCTCAACTGCCAGTCTGTTTGGGGCCCTGGAGACTGCTGCAGCTATTAGAAGTTCAGTTTTTACACATCAGTTTGGAAAGTGGTGGTTGGGAAGGAATGTGGTGATCTGATCACTCTGTACACAAAGCGCGGTCACGGCAGGTGTTATGTGGTGTGTGTATGTCTTCTGTGCAGGCGTGTGAGTGAGTTCTGGCCTGGCTGGTGGGAAGTCCTGTGGTCTGTTTGTCATGTCAGCATCTCTTGGACCACAGAGGTGTTGAACTTGCACTTTTGTGTGAACGCTGCAGTGTCCCTGAGCAGTTGCCTGGCCGGAGTGAGGAAGCCCGCTGATACACCTTCCTGGGTACTCTTTCCAAAGGTGGGCTCATGTGTACCTGGAAAGATGAAGAGAGACAGCCTGTGCTCTTAGGAGAGGGATGCCTTGCTCTCCTGTCGTTCCTCCTTCCGGAGGGCTTGCTCTTCCGGTCTGGTCTTCAGATGTCAAAGTATTACTTAGTTTGGTAGGAAGGTGCATCTTGAAAATAAGAAATGGGAGCTCTGTGGCCAGTTTCTGACATGGAGCCAGAAAAGCACACAGCTTCAGCGTTTCACGGGCCAGCATTTTCCACATCATATATTTTTTTCTAGCCGTGAAATTCCAGCAGATTGTTATGCAAAACAGTTTTGTGTCTCTGTGTGACTGGGAAGACAGCTGTTAGTCCTAATGAGGAGTGCTAGCATTACAGTCTTTCCGTTGATTGAGACCCACGGAGGGAGCAAAATGTTCCAGATCGGGCAGTGGTGTGCGGCGAGAAGGTACTGCACTGTCAGCTGGAAGCACATGCTCAGCTGCTCTCGGTGACAAGATAAATGAGTTGGCTGGAATTTGGCAGAGTCGGAGCTTTTCCAGTGAGCGGTTGTGGCGCACCCACTTCCCCGTGGGACCCGAGTCTGAGGGGCCTTTAGAGGGACTGCCTCTGCGCCAGCTCTTCCCTTTGATGCCCTGCAATACCTGTCAGGATTGTGATTTATTAAAAACCTAATGTCTTTCAGCATTTCATTAACATAGGGTTAGACAGTCTTTTGTGGAGACTTTTTTTCATTAATTTAGCAGAATGTTAACTGAAATTTAACTTGGCCAAAGCTCCTGAAGACGACAGTCCACAGAAAGTCATGAGCATTGTAAGCCTCTGCTCTCCAAAGCTCTGCCCAGGCTTGAGTTCTTCAAACCCTGTTGTGACTGCCGCACTGGGGAGTAGCAGCACCTCACTTCTCGTCAAGCCCTCGCACTGCTCTCTGTTTGTTAAACAGGGACTTCAGGCGGGCCATTGGGTTGGTGTTGCGGGTTTACCCTCGTCTCCCCCTTGCTCCATGTCACACATGGCCTCGTGCGGGGTTTTATCTTCTCTGGGTCTCTCTCTGTGTCGTGGGACACTGTCTGATTTAGTGTACTGTCCCCCAGGCCCATCCATGTTGTCACAAATGGCAGGATTTCATTCTTTTTATGGCTGAGTAATATATTTTATTGTATATATATCCCACATCTTTATTCATTCATCCATTGACAGACACTTAGGTTGTCCCTATCTTGGCTATTGTAAATAATGCTGTGATGAACATGGGGGTACATACATGTATCTTTTCCAGTTAGCGTTTTTGTTTTCTTCGGGTAAATACCCAGAAGTGGGGTCACGGGATCATATGGTAATTCTATTTTTTATTTTTTGAGGAACCTCCATAGTGTTTTCCATAGTGGCTGCACCAGTTTACATTCCCACCAGTAGTGCACAAGGCGTCCCTTTTCTCCACATTGTTACCAATACTTGTTATTTTCTGATTTTTGGTTTTTTGTGTCTTTTTTTGGATAATAGGCATTCTAATTGGTGGGAGGGTATGAGGTGATATCTCATTGTGGTTTCGATTTGCATTTCCCTAATAATTAGTAATGTTGAACATCTTTTCATGGGTTTGTTGGCCATTTGTAAATCTTCCTTGGAGAAAGGTCTATTCAAGTTCCTCATCCATTTTTTAATTGTTTTTTTGTTGTTGAGTTGTAGGAATAAGATTTTCTCTAGTGTTATGATTAAACTGATTGAAAGTTGCATTTGGGGTGAATTTTTTTTTTAATTCTCTGCTATCAGGCACAAATATATAGAAATTTTGGCAGGTTGTGTTTGATCCATACCTTCTGGTAACTTCTCTTTGCTCCATTGCCTGGAGTAGGTAGAAGAGAGTAGGGGGACTGTAGTTTTCTCATCTACTGAGGGGAAATCGGTCTCCTTGTCTTCACACTGACAGAGAGATGTGAGCGGAGTGGAAGGCAGCTGTCAGCTTCCATGCCTCCGGCACCCTCTCCACTCACCTTGTCAGTCTCTGGCAGCAAGAGCGTGTGTTTATTGCGCAGTGTGGAGAGGACTCGTGTCTGTATCCTGGAACTTCCTGATGAGGTTCTGACCCTGTGCCCTTTACTTGTAGCACTGTGACCTCTGCCGTGTTCACTGTGGGAGATAATGTCGTGTCAGGCAGTGACGACCGCACCGTGAAGGTCTGGGATTTAAAAAATATGAGATCTCCCATTGCGACAATTCGTACAGACTCTGCCATCAACAGGTGAAGAAAGCTGCTCATTACATAAACCTTTAGCATGACCTGAAAGGGTAGATTGTGATTTAATGTCTTGTTCCTGTAAATTTAGTGTTTAATTGATAGAGCCTTGGGAAAAGTGGTTTAGACTCCTGGGAAAACATTTTCTTATTGATCCTCTAATGCAAATTCCATATTCTGTAAATACTGAAGCTTAAGTATAACATCAGGTTGGCATAGTGTGCTTTGTAAGAATAAGAATGAGCCATTTATGGCCATTCTCTAGGGCTTCTGTTTTAGTTACCAGGTGGTACATATAAATTAGGTGTTAGTGACTCAGTCTCTATATTCTAGTGCCATAGACAGATAATACCTCTGGTTTGCTAATGTGTTATGACTTGAAATGTGAATAGTATGAAATATCCTACTGCATCATAATCTGTAAACTCAACAACTTAAGCTATTGCTGTTTTATACATAACTTCCTTTTGTCTTTTCTTTGCAGGATCAATGTATGTGTTGGCCAAAAAATCATTGCCCTCCCACATGACAACCGACAAGTGAGATTGTTTGATATGTCAGGTGTGCGGCTAGCGCGGCTCCCCCGCAGCAGTCGGCAGGTAACCGTGCTCTAGACGTGTGTGTTGCAGAGAGGCTTAGGAAGAACTTGGAATTCACGTCTTGGTCATCGCTGTCTAATAGAAATACAGTGTAATCCACATCTGTGTTTTCAGTTTTCTAATAGCCACTTTAAAAAAAAGAGAGAAATTAATTTTAACGATATATATTATTTAACCATATGTATCTGAAATAATATAATTTCAACATGTAATCAGTATAAAAATATTAGAAATTTTACTTTATTTTCTTACTAAGTCTTTGGATGCTAGATTTTCATCAGAAATACTGGATCTATATTTAGAGTTCATAAAATTTAAAGTTGAAAATGTTTCCCAATACCTGAACTGAGTATAAGTTTTAAAGTTTAAACGTATGTGAAACAAGCACTCAGTGCCTCAGTTGCCCTAGCACATTTCAGGAGCTCGTTGGCACAGGTGTAGTGGCTACCATATTGGAAAGCACAGTGTTAGATATTTGCAACTGAACTTATCCAAACTGGAAATATATTAAATGACAGGTATTTAATGTAGTCACGCAAGAGCCGGGGTCATGGATTGTGGGAGCTCAAGAAAGGGACCCCACCTCCACCCACAACCAGAAAACCCCTTTCCGTGGCGGGTCACCAGGACAACAAAAGGCACGTTAGATGCGCTTTCTGGTGAGTTAGGGATTGCTCCTCATTCAGCTCAGGTGATGCAGTGCAGGGGAGTTGGGTCAATGTTTTCTGTGGTGTTTGGACTGCCTTTCAGTTACCTGAATGCATGATAAGATTGGGGCTCCATGGCACCAGCTCAGACCTGCTGAATCAGGATCTCTGAGAGGCTCCTGGGAACCTGCGTTGAGATGGGTTCCCTGGGTAAATCGGAGTTTGAGGGAGAGTCTCAGAGTCCATGACGTACTCCAGGCTTTGTGCTTAATTGAGCCCCCCGCACTATCGCTCTCTCCTTTGCTTCCTTTTGCCTTGTCTGCTTGTCACTGTGATAACCTGTGCCATGGATAAGCCAGTACGTCCCTTCTTTCTAGAGGAGTCCGTCCCCGACCCTGCAGGCGGTGTGCGTGTGCTCCTCCAGCATTCTCCACCCTTGCTGCCTCACGACAGCTGCTCTGCTGACACTTCGGTAGATGCCCCGTCTCATCTCACGTGCAAAGCCTCACAGTGCGTGCGGGTTGTGAGCCGCAGGCCGGCTCTGCAGGAGATGTGGCTTCAGAAACTGCAGGCCCAGGGCTGTTTTGGAGGTAGATTGTGAAGTGGGGATTTGCTGCCAACATAGCAACACCTTTAACGGGCACCAATTTTCTGAAAGCCCCCTGTGCTTAGGACAAGGCTGTTTCTTCCCTCTTCTGGCTCACATGTGTACTGTTGGAAGTTACTGAGCTTTTTATTCTTAGAGTTCATATCACAGAAAAACTACTGGTGAAATTAGAATAACTAAGAAAACCCTCATAGCCCCTCACAAAGCTGTGAGTTGCATGTCCAGGGAGTTTTTCCGTGTTGGGTAATTGCTGAGTGTCGCTGATGCCTCATCCAAGCCACATCTCCTCTCTTTCAGATGTGCCTATGTGTGTCAGGTGAAGTTGCTGTGCAACGTGTGAGCTGTGCTTTTTGAAACACAAGTGAATGAGTGTGTATGACTTCATTACTTTGAGAATATTTTCCCTTAAGAAAATAGGGAGTTCTAAGCACTTCTCGGTGGTACTAATTCCCATGGAGGCAGTTTTGTTTTTAATTATCTATAAACATTCAGCCTTGTTGGAACTGTAGAATTCTGTTGTACTTGGATTTGTTCCCTCCTAAAGTGGTACATGAAATAAATTTATTTTTAAGATTAATGAATAACATTTCACTTCATTCTGAACTTGTAATACGTCTTTAGATAAATAAATATGGTTTCCAAGTGTCACAGAACCACAGCTATAAATCCCTACTTTATATTGTCCTAGCTTCTTTCAACTTCTTTCCTGGATTTTAAAAAGAGAAAACCACACTTATTTGAACTTAGTAGCTAGAATGAAAGGGTTTTACTTTGGGGAAAGTATAAGTGACATTTCCAGGAAGTGTTTCAAGCAAGGCAAGCTCTGTCTTATGTGAAAAGGACCGACAGGGAGGAGGGTTCTGTGTGCGGCTCGTTTGTGAGACGTAGGTTTACAGAAAGTGCAGGAGCACAGAGCTTGTGATGTGTGTATTGTGACTCTGGGAGGGCGGTAGGTGTGTTCCTGGAGCCTTTCTCCGGTGGGTGCCCCCAGGACTTCACATCCTGAGCGCTCCAGGGGAGTCCCCATGAGATGAAGGGCCCACTCAGGCCTGGACTTGGCTTCCGGCTCCCTCACGATTTGGTGTTCCTGGTTTGACCTACTTTCTGTAAGGTGCCGTGTAGTCTTTTCCCTGATCTCAGTGGTTGTCAGCTTTAGCTCTTGTACAGAGGCTGGATTTTGCTGCTGTTTCATGGATGCGTCGTTCCTTCTTTTTTCTCACGTTATTAACAAAGAAGTGATAATCCTTGGCTGTGTGGGCGTCCATTGGCAGTACTTCTGTTTTGTGGCCTGTCCGAGTTCCCTCAGAGTGTGGACAGCACTCTTCATGTGGGAGTGTTTGCAGAGGGGACTTGTGTGTGTTTCTTTGACTTACTAAATTCCTGTAAGGTCTTCTTAATCCTGCTTCTTGTGCTTCCTGTGTGATATTACAGTAACAACAGCGTGTTAGAGCTGTCACGTTCGTTTAGAACATAAGAACACGTCCTGACACATTGCTTACATCTCTACACATATGCACCAAATATATCACACTATAAACTTTACACATATTTTGCAATACTTTTTTCCAACATTCTGACATTTAACTGAAATTCGTGAAGGTGGCAGGGATCTACTTGACAGGCCATTTATTTTATCCTTGTTTTATTTGGTACCAAATGCACTTTTCTGTCTCTTTTATTACCTGAGCCAATTATTTGTTAAAATGATATTTAAGGTCTTTGAGTGAATTTCATTTAATTTATTCCCCAATATCCTCTAGCCTCATTTATTCATAAGAAATTTCAAGTTGATCACTTATTTATTCTTTCTGTCTGACTGGAAGCTTATTCATTTTCTAAACAAGGAATCTTACAGTGCTTTTGGTTGGGTGTCCCTAAATTCCTTACGTGTTCTGACCTCACTCATTTCATTCAGGCTTTTCCACCAGCACATCCTGAAAGCCCGTTACCATGCTCAGTATTTTTGGCTCACTTTGACTAATTCTGTATGTTAATGTTTTTTTTCAATTTAGTCTCTTTGATTGGTGTGGTTGTTAATTTGGCCGAGGTTTTATAGCTCTAATGCTTTAGGAATAATCCGCTAATTCTGGTTTGTGTGATTGGTAATAGGGCCACAGAAGAATGGTGTGCTGCTCGGCATGGAGTGAGGACCACCCCGTGTGCAATCTGTTCACCTGCGGGTTTGACAGGCAAGCTATTGGCTGGAACATAAACATCCCTGCATTGTTACAAGAGAAATAAGGTCGCCGGCGCTCCTTGGTTTCATAGTTTGCCATGGACCTGAGACTGGGGCAGGATTTTCTCGTATCGATCAGCCATTTTTGTGAGACTTGGACCCTGAAAAGGGTGATTTGTATATGTTCTTTTCACATTGTACCCAGCTTGCATGAAATGTACAGAAAAATGTGTGGTCATATTTTTTGTTGTCATCTTGTGTGTGTGTTGGCGTCCTCTGGTCAGTAGAGATGAAGCCCCCTTCATGTAGCACGCTGCGTGTTGTGAGTTACTGGCATTTGACAGATGACAGGAGCGCATTACATTTGCGTGAGTTAAATGTGAACCTGTGTACTTACTGTGAGGTGTAAGTATCTGTTGCGTTGCTGGAATAATTATACATATCTACCTTGTACTGGGAAGATTGCAGAGCTGCATTTGCATTGGCTAACAAATGGCAGGAATGATCAAAGATTTCATGTTTACTTCTGTATGAAGTTTTGGCATGTGCTATCTTGTAATTCAACTTCAACTCTATATTCTATTATAGTTCTGTAAAATTAACCTGGAGTCTAGAAGTTAAAGAAAATAGCATAGAATGTTGAGTTTCCAACATTCAGAGAGTTTCTTTTGAAAAGGAAAAGTTTCTGCTCTTTTTATAGAAAATCATTTCAATCTTCTGAGGTCTCATACTAGCAAATTCTAAAAAATATAATGATCCCAATCACTGATTTCAGATATTAAGCAAAGTTTAAAGCACTTTAGTTTATAGCTATTGTTATAAACAGTTTTTAGACGTTTCAAATGACTTATCCATTGAATGTGACTTGACCTTTTTAAGAAGCCCCTGCTACCTGAAAACAAAACCTTATTTATTTTCAACACCTTTGGTTTGCGTATTTCTAAATGGGTTCACTTCCTAGGTGGTAATTGAGAGCCAACAATGCAAATAAATGAGTACTACCTCAAACATAAATGTATTTGGAGAACTTGGGAGTCTCGCTGTTGCCTAGCCAAAGCACTTTTGACTTATAGCTGGAGTACGGGATCCAGTTCAGAAGGCAAGAGAGACAATCACAGCAAATGTATCCGGAAGACGCAAGGCTCTCTCCTTAGCTAACAAGGCGGTAGCCGAATCGATGGTTCGCAGGTAAGAAGACGCTCTTGCCACAGCACCCAGGGCACCTCCCACTGCCCGAGTGAGCCATCGCTCCCGCCTTCCTAGGAGCCGCTATTTTCTGTTGTTTGTGAATTCATGTTTCTTGTTGAGTTAGGGTTTTGATAAAAGCATCTCAGTGTTCTTCCCCTCATGGTTTTAATCTTTGAACATGACCGTTTGGAGACCAGCCCGTTGGAGAGGCACAAGAAGGTAACATTGAAAACCATCGTGGGTGACCCGCATTCTCTGTTTCCTGTTCTGGGGTGACACGGGGACTGGAGCTGGCAGCTGGTGGAGTGCCATTTGGTGAGGGGTAGTGTAAGCAGAGTGTGCTGGCTGTCTTTCGGTGGAGTGTCCTGAGTGAAGGCGCCTCCTTAGTGGCTCCTTTTGCTCAGGTCCTGTAGTAGCAGATCATAGGAACTTCACCCTGAATCATTCACAATGATTCTGAAATGCTTCCTACTGCCTGGAAGGGAAGACAGGACCAGGAAAAACCAGTGATGACATAGTACAGAGTTGAGGTTGCTAACTAAAGGACAAACAGCAGATGTTTTAGAGGAACTTTATTTTCACAGCTCAAGCATTTGTTGTATTTTTAAAGTCTGACAGTCCCCTGACCACACTGTTTGAAAACGAAGTCAGGCCTGTCACTGAGGGGGGATAGGACGTCAAGTGGCAGCCCCTGCTCTCCTGAGTGGTCTCAGGGTGAGGTGTTGGTTGCCACGTCCCCTTTACTGCACCACGCCCCCAAGGTGTGAGCACAGACGACTCTGGAATGATAAGCTGCACAGCCACGCTCTTGGTCCCTTTGTGTTGTAATTTGGATGTGTGGGTGTCTTAGAGCCCTTGTTAGGAATATTGAAGAATGTATACAGATAGCTAAATCAAACTTAAGAACCACATCTCTGCTAGATTAAAAAAATTTGAAGCTTTTAAATCTGTATTTGTGATGGCCATTTAGTTCTGTGCAGACTAGTGCCCTTCATGACTGGCAGCTGCTAAACTTTTCCTGCTAACTGGAGGAGCCAACCTCCTCACTCGTCTTGTCTCCACCAGGGTGAAAGGCCTCATGGTGCTCAGGTGAGTTCTCAGGAGCAGGACACGCTACTGCTAACTACTGCATCGTCCTCTGACGTGGTTCCATCCAGCTGCTGCTGTGGCTATAGTGGTGGTGTTTTCAGAAGTCACGAAGAAGATTAGGGATAGTGAGTGTGTGTGCCCGTGTGAATGTGCGTGTGTGTGTGGCTGAAATTGTCATGTGTTCAGCCACATGTGGTCTCATCTGAAATAGTGTTTGGAAATGGGAGTGATTTTGTCCTATATGCTGACATGTCCAGAATTTCATTTAATAATGGAAGGAAAATGTGTGGTTACTGAAAAACGTGTATCGATGGAGAATTTCATAAGACATACGCTGTTGGACAAGGCAACACTCTTTTTCTCAACCACTGCACATCAGTTTCTGTAGAGTCAAAAATTCTGTACATATTTTGGAATCTGAAGAATCCTATGTAAATCATTTGTTGCTTAAATCTGTGAAAAACAAGTTTCTTTGGGGGGAAAATATGCATTTATAAGTGTTGTGTAGAAGCAAGTGTTTTTATTGTATTGATGTAATTGTTTTTAAGTGTTCAGTGTCTTCATTGCAATATGAAATTCATTAAAAATCTATGTTCCGTAATTACTATTGTAAAAGTTTTATGTTATTAGGAGTCTCTTTTTTATTATTTTACTTTGTTTTTCTTTGTGAAACATTGTTGATGGCCACTAAACATCACAATGACGTAGAAATTGAACAAATTAATGATAGTACTGCCCACCTGAAAAATTTTCATTTTCGACTTAAAAGATCAATTGTGTTATATTTTCTGTCTGTTATGCCAAAATTAAATGATACATAATTATGCTTCTCCATTCCTGCATCACCACCTGAAAAATTTCTGAAAGGTGTTGACAATTTGACGTAATACAGGCATTTGTCAAAGTTTCTCAGAGTTTTCATGACACTTGTGTTCTTATTACAGTTAAGCTTGTTTGAAAGTTAAAAAGATTGTAGTTACAGAAAGTAGGCCCCATTTTCTGTGGGAGAATGCCAGTCAGGATTGGTGGCGGCTGCTTATTCACCACATTCTTACCTACGTGGACGGAGCCTGGTGGTGGTTGAGGGCACCTCCGGGTGTTAAAGCTCTACCCGGGATTTTCCTGCCTGCGCGGTCACTGCCTGCACTCCACAGGCGTTGGGGCTGCGTTCAGGCCCCAAAGGGCAGAGAGAGTCCCCACTGCTTGCTTAACTCCTTCCCTTACTCTTCACAAACGTGGGATTATTGTCTAAGTTTCATAATTAATCTTCAGTTACATTTAGAAGTTCGCATATTAGTATAAAGAATCAAGCAAGACTTGTATTGCTGTGGTTTCATTAAAATGCCACTGAGATGTGTCTCCCTTACTATCCATAGGTTTTCTGTTTTCCTTTAATAAATTAGAAGCTAAGGAAATTATTCCAAAAATTGAGAACATCTTAGGTGTTATGTGCAACGCATGATATATATAGTCCATATTATGGGGAAGAAGCCGAAAGTGAAATCAGTTAAGTGTTGTGTAATTTCAAATTAAATGTATTAAAACATCTTCAAGCAGCCTTTGGTCAAAATGAAAATAGATTAATCAGATCTTTGCAGCTTTAAGAGCTCTGTATGATCGACAGGTGATGCCCATTTATGATTGTGGGCTGCGGTAGCGTAACAAACTGCTTTAGACGGTGTGGTTGAGGAAGCGTCTCTCCAGAGATGTGGTTTAATCCGAAGCCTGAAGGTTGACGAAGGTGTCAGGAAATGAAGGGGGAAAGAGGAGTGAGGGGAGCGCACAGGCAAAGCGTCACTGAGCATAGAGTGAGGGGAGGGTGCCAGGGTGAGGGGGGCTGTCTCCTCAGCAGGTTTACTCCAGGTGTGCTGGCTGCCTTGGGACAGACCAAGGGGTCACGAGTCCTCCAGGGGGAGACGTGGCTGCAGGGAGGTGCTGGGGCAGCAGGGTGGAGAAAGAACATGGACTGAGATCTGATTTGGAAGTCAGACAGGCAGTTCTTGCTGGGAGGAAGGGTCTGCACGCCACCGTTGAGGATGCAGTTATGGAAAATGCTGTTACTGCGAGCATGAAGCTTTGACTGCAGGCGTTCCTTAGTTACTCAGAGGATGTTTCACGCACAACGTAAAATGTATGAGAAGGACTGTTCCCTAAGAAAAATGGTAATGGGACGTGTTAGGAAATTTCAGTCATAATTTAGAGACATTAGGTTTAAGTTACCTTGACTTCATCTACTCCCTGCATTGCTGGGCATTTTGTCACCACCACTGACCACTTCCTCTCGCTCTGGGCGCTGTGTCGGCCCCTTGCCCTCGTGGGTTCTGTGCGAGCGGTCATTTTAGGCTCCACCTCCCCACACTGGGTCATCAAGATCTTCCCTTGGGAGCTGAGTGCTCAGCAAAACTGTCAAGAGTGAGTGTGAAATAAAGATGGCTTGGGATAAACAAAAACAGTTTTCACCAGTATACCTTCCCTGATGGAACTTCTTGAGGAGATGCCGTAAGAAGAAAGTCACAAAGAATGGGTTCAAAATGGGCCAACATGCCAGCAGACATCTATGTAAAATTATGTCTGATTAGAGTTAGTGGTTTAAATCCTATTTTTGTTTGGCTAGGGGACTGAAATATGATTAACTCTAGTCTTTTTTTTAAGGTTATTAAATGTATCTAGTAAAATTTTGAAGGTAACCAAAAAGATCAAGAAACGATTAAACGTGGTTACTGTAAGGGGTTTGAAAAATGTGGTAAATAAGAACTGGGTGGAAGTGACTCTTTGGTGTATTTCTTTTTATAGTTTTTTAATTTTAGAACCATTGAAATAGATCACCCAGTATCTGAGAAGTTCCCATTTTATGCTAGCAACAAAAACATACAAGGTGTACCTTAGTGGGGAAAATCTGACAAAAATAGAAAGAGGCTTGAAACCATCCATGGGAATATTTTAAAACTTTAACAAAGACATTAAAAAAGACAAAATGAGAGACCATTATGTTCGTTAAAAGAAGTTGATATTGTAAAAATGTCAGTTCTCCCCATATTGGCAAGTAGATTTAGTGCAGTTCCAATCCAAGTAATCCTAGAGTTTCTTGAGAAATTTAACAATCTGATTCTTGAATTTAGTTGAAAGAGCAAAGGCCAGGGTTAGTAAGATGCCCAAGAAGAGAAAAGAGGAGAAAAAGAAGAGAAAGAAAGATTTACCTTAAGCCTGGCAGGGCTGTAGTAAATCGGGTGTGGTACAGGGATGGACACATTGACCTGTGGAGAAGATTCATGCACATGTGAAAATCTAAAATACTTCAGCTCATATAATCACAGATCAGTGGGGAGAAAGTGGCCTATTTAATTA